CAAATCTAATCATAATAGTGATCTTTACAACAACAAGCACACTTTATGACATTGATCGGTTTCCAAAAGCTGTAATTTGAGCGTTTGAAATGGTTTCACCACATGCATGCGGGATTCCAAACAGGCCGCCGCACTTTGGTCGGAGAGCCAGTAATAACGGAGTTCAGCTTTACTAGCTGTAAGAGAAACTTCAGCTATGTTTGGACTGAAACCGCTTCAAAAGCTCGGGGAGACTGTGTGCTCGACTTTTAACAATATCACTTCCAGATGTTTCATTAAAAACAACTTTCAAAGAGCTCACTTAAAGAAAACCTTCAAGGCGGAGACGGGCCGGGGTTTGAGAACCCGCAATTTTTCACATTTTCATTTCAGTCAGAAAAACTGCCTGAAATGTATTTCACTGCAATGGAGCCAGTAACACTACTGCTGGTCTCTCAGCAGTAGTGTTACAACATACATAAATCGCTGCCCTATAGAACAACAACACAGGGCAAAGGTATCCAAAGGGCTGGAGTGCACTGCTCTGTTACAATGCGACAGAATTCACTGAGAAATGCAGCTGATACGGGACGCAACAGGAAGCTTGGCTGACTGAAATATAGGGGTGCATTCATTACAGTCTCCCTCTTGTGTCTCTCATCAAGCTGGCTAATGCTGACTGGCGGGCTCTGACCCAGTACTGCGCAACTCCTCTCTACTGCACCCGCCTCTCATCAAGAGCCTTGGGTGGGGAAAAAATGGAGTAACATGCTGTTTACTCGCAATCCCAGGCCCGTAATTGCCAATTTATTTGATAGGCAGCAGGGTAATGATGGCATTTCACCCCTTGCCGCAGAGACTAAACAGGAGTGATTCATCCAGAGCTCCCTGCCCTCCCCGATCCAGCAAACTCCCTCTGCTCAGGACTGCTGCCTGCCTGAATGCCTGCCACCCAGACTGAAGGGGTGGGGTGCGGTGGGGGATGTGGGGGTTAGTTGCCATGTCGGCTTCAAACAAACCCAAAAGGGAACCCGGAGCTTCAGAGCAAACGCAGCTAAGCCTGCCAATTTAGCTGGGGTTTGGGGCTGAGGCAAACACGGCCGAGCTGATGTGCCATTTGTAGGCCTTAATGAGCTGGCAGGATGGAGTGAGGAGGGAAGGCGAGCGGGAGAGTAAAGGCTGCCAGGCCTGACCTCCTCTGGCCTCCATCTCCCTGCCAGCCAGCGCCAGGTCGGCAAACTCAGTTCATCTGCTTCATCGGAGCGAAGTCCCTCCGTGAGGGGAAGGGAGTGCTACAGCAAATATCATTAGCGAACTGTTGGTCTAATGAACAGTTGGGGTCAAAGCGAGCTCATGTCTCACACTGCTCCCTGATACTAATGAGTGACTTAGATGCTTTGTCTTTGTTTTCACATTGCAATGGAGCCTCTGTGCAGCAGGACCGCGCGAGCGGTCCAGATTCAGTGCGCGGTGCCACGTTTCATACACAGACTTCTGTAGCAACAGACGCACGGAGCGAGCTGCAGGCATGCAGCTTTGCTAGTAACTTTTAATAACATTAACAAGTAAATTTACCATTTTAAATCATTCTGTCAGTCTGTCATACTGTCAGTATGGCAAAAAGTCTGAAGAAGCACGTGGGGACAGGAGGTGAAGACCCTGTTGTGTGACCGACTGAGGCAGTGGTTCCCAAACTTTTTTTGCTGGGCCCCCCTTTGTTTTACAAGAAAAATGTCCGCCCCCCCCCACATGCACGAACACATCCTCCAACCACACGCGCCCATCTTTTGCTCCATTGCGGTTTATTTCACACCTCAAACATTTAGTAAACAATTAAGCAAATACAAGTAATCTGCAGTAAATTACAGGTAGTAAGAAAATAAACTACTAACTCTTTTACACCTACACGGGTGTTTTTGAACACGCAGCTGTTTCGTCCACACATAAACGGCGTTTCGAATCACCGAAAAAGGAGATTTTTTAAAACTCTTTTTTTTGCGTTTACGTGTGGACGAGGAATACAGAGTTGGTCACGCAGCGTCAAAGGTATGAGCCTTTATTCACATCACGCTGTGCGCCACGTTTACATGAGATGAAATGCAGAATGAAAGAGACACAATACTGTTAATCTGACTGTCTGCAGGTTTTACACGCAGTTACTGTTCCTCCATTTACAAAGGCAGCGGCGTCACAGTGGGATTATTTTACATGTAGTTGTTTTTTCCTGTGTAATAATGTTCAAACATTGTGATCAATGCATTTTTCAAAAAACACCTCTCTGTGCAAAATGGGTTTAAAAACATAAACAGCTGTGGGATCCTGTTTGTCTGTGACTTGGAGAGCCCAGCGCTGCTCCCGACGCAGGGAAAACCAATCCTGCAGGGAGACCTACCTCAGCACCTGTGCAGGTGAAGCCAAAGGGAAGATTTGCTTCACCATATTTTCTAGTCTTTGGAAACATATTCAGCGATGCTTCATCTCCTGCTTTGCGTTTCTGTGGGCGCCCCGTGCTAACTGTGTCCAAGCATTTTGTCCCCCCCCCTTTTCATACCGCGCCCCCCCTGCAATGGCTCTGTGGGCGGACCCCCCACTTTGGGAAGGTCTGGACTAAGGTGACGTGGGGGTCTTTATGCAGCCCGGCTTTCAGCACATCGTCTGGGACACGCTCAGTCTGCTGTGATGAAGCAGTGGGAAGCAGCGCTGCAGCAAAGCACACGGTTCCTACATGAGAAGATGCAACGACAAACAAACTGGGAACATCATTTTTAATTTAGTTCCAACAAAATGCACACATATGCTACCACCTCTCATGATATTGACTTCGAGGGCTTATTTCATATATCTAAATGCAATTGAATTAAATTCAATGGCTCTTAGAAGTCGCTGAAAAACAAAGGTGGACCCTAACACAGCGTGCAGTGCACATCATCGCAGTGACGGAGCAAAGTGTTTACCCACTGAAGTCGAGACAGATCGTACTGGGAACAGTGGTTTATGACTCATTGAATGGAATCTCCATCATTTATTTGAAATTACAACATGATTATGTTTCCATGCAAATACTTAAAAATGGAGGTGAACTAGAATAAGGAGGCAACGAATCAGGACTTTTACAGGGAAAAAATGACTGTACTGCACGATAAAGTTTATTGCAGACTGAAATTAAGGATTGCATAAGTACATAATCTTTTAGTAAAGATTGCAGATCTTTGTGGGGGGGCAGGCCATATTATGGAACAGCGTAATCTGTCCTAACGTCTGGGTTTTGTGCGCTTCTTTGAAAGTGATGTTTAAACAGCGATAATGAAAGAAAAGAAGTTCGCCTCAGTCACTATAAGATCACACAGGCCGGCATATTTTGATTTACTTTATTGTAAGTTGGTAAGGAGCAGTCGTTATCACAGTTACACTGTAAAATAAAAGAACAGCCGAATATTAGGATTTCCATCATGGACGTCAGCATACTGCACTTTGAACTACTACGTAAAAAGGACAGATTATTCCACTCTGAGCCACGTATCTTTACATATTGATGGTGCAATATTGCTTTTCTGAAAAATTACCGTAAAATTAGACACAACATCACGTTAATTACATTTAGTTACAGTTTAATTATTTCTCTGTTTCCTGTAAAAACCTGACCTGTTAAAGCCTCGCTCTGGTTCGCCTGCCTTTACATATTTGTAGGTAAATATAATTACGTTGTCATTTCAAACAAATTGTGTTGAAATTGCATCTAATTACAGGCTGAGTTGCAGGCTGCATTATAAAGAGTTACCTAGATTCCTGCCCTTTTATTCAAATCTGCAGTGACATCAACTTTTTTCTTCACGATACTAAGCAATAACACGATACCATGAGAAACCGACTCATAGCATTCTGTGTGACAACAGGAAACATGATTAAATCAGAACTTACACATGAACTAAACTGGCTTTTATTCTACGTTCTTGTTTCAAACCTGTGGTGCAGCACGAGGTTGTTAGAGGTCACGGCAAAGCTGCCATAGTTTTCACGTGTCGGCCGTACGGATCTCAGGTGAGCAGATTTAAAACCTCCATCGTTTAAGCAAAATGTGTCCCATCACTCTGCAGCACTGTCACTAAAGTGCAGACAGAAATCAGCAGATATCATTTCAATTTCTGTTGTCAACATCAAATTACTTATTTCATTTCATGCCCAGTCGAGCACTGTAAAGCTACACGCAGAATCAGTTTTGCTTCAGTCGTTCGGCCGTGTCTTTCTCAAAGACGAGCTCGCCTCCCTACTGACAGCTTTAATTATGGCCACATATCTGATCGCTTTGCTGTAGATTCGGCACACAAATCAAAGCGCAGGGGTGGGTGTGCGGCAGCGAGGTCCCACGAGTCTGCTCGCTTTACATCTCGGAATATGTCGCAGGGCGAAGGGACACGCGGCCGCTCGTCCTTTTGTCAGGTTATACTTGCCTTCAGCTCGCACACGATGAATATGGAGCGTTTTTGGGTGCATTAATCATCAAGAACATGTCAGAGTAAGTGTGTTTGTTTCAAATGCAAACAGAGACTGGACTTGGGTGCTTTCTGAGGTCCAGCCTGGATCAGTCACACCCAATAATAACTTACCTTTAGTTTGGGTGAAAAATGCTGGTTCATTCCAATATAAATTTCAACTGTAACACTGCTGCTACTGCAACATGAACTGGCTTTGCAGTAATACAGTGCAGTTCTTTGAAAGTGCAAGTGTAATGAAATAAACTGGAAGTGCAGGCACAGCTTTCATTTTACAGCGTTTTAAGGCAATAAACAGTTCCTGCTGGGTTTAATCTGTTTAAACAGAAATATTATCAGTAACCACAAGCATTTTGTAAGGCTGCTAGGAAGTCAGATCTTAGCTTTACAGCTCAAGGTAAATGCCTTTTTAATATGTGCTTGTAATTAAATGACCAGGCCATCTGCATATATGCAGGAAATATGTTACACTCTATAAAAAGAGCTGTGACAGCCGGCGAGCAGCAGGTGTGCTCGTTGTGGTGCTCTTACGTCTGTCAGTCTGTCTCTGGAGCTGCTCCTGAAGGAAGGCTTGGACTCTTCGCTTACACTCTCACTGTCGCTGTCCTTACAGTTGTTCTGCCCTGGCTTCAGCTACAAAAACACAAAGAGAACAAGGGTTAAAACACAGAGTGTTAATGTGCACTTTAGAGCTGCGCACGGATCGGCATCCCACAGAAACCGGTGCAGAAATATGTGAGAACTGGCAGGAGCTGCAGTGCTGTCTCTGTAAATCTGTCATGTTTCTGAGCCTACTCGGTAGCCATCACTCCACTTGCCAAAGATAGACGCCATCTGATCTCACAGTATGAAACTCCTCGCAGCCCACGAAATAGAGAACAGGGACAAAGACCCCTCCAGAACCTTCAAATGGAGCCACCGTCCTTCCCGAGCAGACACCACATGCTGAGGCAGCAGGAGCTCAGCAAGTGTCATCCTCTAGACACTCTGTTCAAGATGCAGCAAAACGACAAGAATAAAGAGGACAGCGTGGCTATCTGTGAGCGTGCGAATCCTTCAAAATCTGGAGAACAATAAAAGACTCTTGGGAGACAAAGCTCAGTGGGAGAAGGTGGGGTCTACATTCCCAGCTCGAGCCTGCGACTGTTGTCCGGGCTACTTCTGCGAGACGAGACAGATGCCGCAGGTTTCCTTTCAAAGCCAATAAAAAGCTGGCTTGTAAATAGTTGTTCTGCCACCTAATGGGAAAAGCAGAGAGCCGTGCCCCACATACTGTACAGGAATTGGACTACGAGATTGGGACACAAGAGGGAGCTGACATAGAAACAGCATGTGCTCTTTTTTAAAGCTCTCCTTTCAGGATCGGCCATCGTTTAGCATGATGAAAGGGCACAAGGTGTGGGAATACCGAAAGAACCCTCGAGCTGAACGCGTAATTAAAATGAAAACGTTCCCTTTTCTGGTAGCCATTAGCTGTGTGAAAAGAATCCTGTTCCTTAGGAGAATTGCATGATGGGTAGAAGGCAAGTGGATTCACCAGAGTGCTGAACGTGATAAGAGTCTCAGCGCTGGGAATGCCTGATGGGCCGTAAGGATGAGTCTATATGTCGGCCCGAGCTCACACGCATGCAAAGCAGTGCCCTGCACCGTGATAGCGCTAATTACATTCTATTCTCACAAAGCACAGGGCGCATTTTCTCTCGTTTTTCTGGAAATGCCACTTACTCTGAGGGGACTCGACATGTTTTTGCAGAGAAAAGGAGAATAATATCTCATCGAGCCCGGTCTGTGAACTGATCCTTGAAAAAAGGGCGGTGGATGTTGTTTATGCCCCAGTCCACAGCTCCTTCATCCAAACACACTGACCTGTAACATCCCTGCTGACAACACACACACACACACACACACACGCACACACACACACACACACACTATGGACACGCACACACACACACACACGCACACACACACACACAGAGACGCGCACACACACGCGCACACACACACACACAGAGACGCGCACACACACACACACACGCACACACACGCGCACGCACACACACACACACACACACACACACACACACGCACACACACACACACGCGCACACAGTAGAACTGCTGATTTGTCTTTTGTCAATCAACTATCTTTACTGCAGAGTCCATATAAGGCTCCACATAATCGCACCATCTGTATTCTGGCTCGTCAGAGACAAAGTACTCCATGAAATCAGAAATCTTACACAAATCTAACTGTGCGTAATGTCTGCAGAACATATCTAATAAAGACATTAAAAAAAGCGGCTCATCTTTCAGGGCTATTACTAGCTCAGGTCCTGATTACACAGCTATTTGAAAACGTATCCCTCAGCTTGTTCCCTTTAATTTCCCCCTGAGCTCCCTTAAATTACTTCAGAGAATTGTGTTTTTTCCATCTGCGCTCCCCTCTTTGAGCTTCTGATGATGGATTCATTTCTTTTTATGGTGTGATTAATGGATGTCTTAAGCAAATGGAGGGAATAGTGGTGGTCAGTGCCATCAAACAGTGAGGCTGAAATTTAATGACCTGCTGTCTGATGATAAATCTAAATGGGAAGCCCGTGTGTGTGTGTGTGTGTGTGTGTGTGTGTGTGTGTGTGTGTGTGTGTGTGTGTCTCTGTGACCCAGTCTGTGTTGATCTGACCACTCCCACTTGTTACAGCTTTCAAGTCATTTTCTATTCGGTTTATAGGCTTTTAAAGTTAGCGTCACTTTTAAGCCTTCTGCAGTGAAGACCGGTGTGCTACGCTGCATTTAATGCGACGTACACGCAGACACCCAGACAGGTGTGCCGTACCAACACGCATTAAAGGCATTAATTAAGACGCAGGTTGAGGCATATGGACGCATGTATTTAATGACCTTACTGTATCTGCTCAGTCTGGGTTTTAGAAGTGGCCCTGCAGGAAGATCGCAAACAGATGGTATTAATATTCCAGAGGCTAATTTCACAACAATTAAAGACACAGCAAGACATTAGCATCTAATGAAACATTTAAACTACTAGTAAGTGCATCTGCCATTAATTTCCACCCAGTGAGGTCTTGTTTTCCTCCAATCTGTTCTGTGTTAGGGGGATAAAGTTTTTTCATCCTCGTCTCTTTTACCAGACTGAATTTACTGGAGGAGAGAATCAACAACTGTTTCCAATCAGCAATAACTCAGCGTGGTTCAGCCTGCAGGTTATGATATATTATTTCATGTTTGCTGCATAAACAGAAAGAAATTCAAATGCACTGGTGTTTCTACTTAAGGAGCTGTTTAAATTGTTATAGCCACACCTTGTCTGTTCACTGGTGACGGAATAATTACAGAGTCGTTCATGTCTGAGTTTCGCACACGGACGAGTGAAAGTTTAAAACAGGGTTACAGAGACAAACAGGCACGATTTGTCATCAGGTTTTAATTTGATGTATCCGTGTGTGATGATGCTACAGTAGCACCGATTCTAATATATCTAAACCGTGAAGCATTCATTTATAAAGACAAACAAAATATCACTACACAAACCTTTGTACCACAATTGAATCAATTACTTAATAAAATGTTAAACTAACAGCTTCAGTTCTTGCTCCAAATATAACAAACCAGTGAAGAGCAGTTTACAACTGTTCAGAATGATCTTAGATATAAGTGTGACTTTACTGGTATTCATCAACATTAGTTTGAATTACCGTATTTCCCAGACTACAAAGCGCACCTGAATATTAGCCGCACAAGCTAAAATCAGGGGAAAATGTTTTGTTTTGTACATACATTAGCCGCACCTGACTAAAAGCCGCAGGTGTTTCAATGTTGACTTATCATATGTAAGAGAATATGCACAAAGCGAATTGTCAGGAAACAGATGGCTGTTTGGAGACACACCCCTTTTATTAATATTTTGAAAAACAAGTTATGGGTACATATTTGCACAACTTTTTAGGTATATGTACAAGTAGCGGTAATTACAAGTACAAAACATGTACTGTGCTTCATAAATGAGTAACAAATGTAGTACATAACAATAACCTGCAGCAAACCAGAAAAATAGATTCAGACTACCTTTCAGGCTCAGGTTCAGCGACACGGCTTTAACAAGAAGAAAAGTCAGTCATTCACCATCTTTCTCTTCTTCCTGCGCTAAAAACCACCAAAGTCCTCTCCTCCAGTGTCAGATATGAACAGGCTCAGGATGGCTTCGTCATCCACTCTCAGCTTCTTTCCTTCTTCGTCACTTTCAAAACCAAACAAATCCTCATTGTCAGTGTCAGAGTCGAACACCCTCAGAAGGGCCGTGGCGGTGTCCTCTCCATCATGCAACAGTCCAGCCCTTCGAAATCCGTTGGTGATCGTGGATGTTTTCACACTTTTCCACGCTGTCAGAATCCACCGGTGAAGTTGAGCATAACTTGCTTTTCCAATTCGCAAGATTATCGCCGCTCGTCATCCACGCCTCCCGCTGAACGCGTAGCATTAATTTGAAGTTTGTTTTTCGAGCTACTTGTACGGCACTATGTTGCCATGCGGATGGACACGTGACCAACATACCACTCTTGAACCCCGATACTGTGTGTCTGATCACATGCCCTTCCACCAGGCAACGTAGTGCCGTACAACAGCGGCACAAACAAAACAAATCGTCTTACGATATGACAAAAATCACGGACAATCCAGAGAAAAGCCGCACCTGACTAAAAGCCGCAGGGTTCAAAGCTCGTGCAAAACGTAGCGGCTTATAGCCCGACAATTACGGTATTACGACCGTGGCTCAGGGGGTTGGGAATCGCATCTGTAACCGGAAGGTCGCCGGTTCGATCCCCGGGCTCTCTGTCCTGGTCGTTGTGTCCTTGGGCAAGACACTTTACCCTACTTGCCTACTGGTGTTGGCCAGAGGGGCCGATGGCGTGATATGGCAGCCTCGCTTCTGTCAGTCTGCCCCAGGGCAGCTGTGGCTACACCAGTGTGTGAGTGAATGAATAGTGGAATTGTAAAGCGCTTTGGGTGCCTTGAAAAGCGCTATATAAATGCAATCCATTATTATTATTATTATTATTATTATTGGAGGCTGAGTTTTGTTATTGTCGATTATTCTCATATTTTTCCAAATCAGACATTATGCCATATTTGTTATTCTGTTTCCAGTTTCACTTGTTCTTGTATTAGTCTGGTCTCTGTCAGGTTACTGTCTGGGTGTTTAGTTGTTTCCTGTTGGCAGTCCTCCGTCTCTGTGAGCTCTATTTAGTTTTACTAACACGCTGTCTTATCTTGATTCTTTTCACCTTCATGTTCACCCTCCCTGATTAGTGTGTATTAAATGAACAAACCTGGTTAAGGTTCCTCAAGGCACTCATGACTCACTAGTTAGCTTGACAGTTCTTCACTTTGAGCTCACCACCTAGCTAACTGTGACAGAATTAGTGCAATTTACATTTCCGAGTGTTGAATTAATAAAACCGACAGTTGTGAAAAGTTTGAACCGCACCTCAACAGCTCTGACAATCCTAAGTCCTGATCTCTGTGACTAAGACCTCCCTCTTCATAATTTGTGTCAAATAGATAAATAATAAAATGAGCTCTGCTTATGTTGAGCTGCCCACTGAGAACAAAGATTT